AGCGCCGCCGCGCTTCCCAAGCGGCGCACTATCCAGTGCGCCACCGGGCCGGCCCCCCCTGCCTCTTCATGATCGACCCTTTCACAGTGTGGCAAAAAGCCAGAGGTTATTGTCCTCCTTTAGAATTTAGCAGGAACCTCCTAGGGACTAGAACATCATCTGGACTAAAAACGAGTGAGGATGAGGATGGAGCAGAGGGTCTGGATCTGATGGAGTGTGCAGCATTTCATGTTTGATGACGCTGGGCCTCCCCCCACAGCTGCTGGCTCCCTTTAGGATATGAATCTAGAAATAAAAAGAGGCACTCACTTGTTGAGGTTCAGATAAATGAGATGTCCAGCCTAGGCCAAGTGAATTCTGGAGAAGGGGACTGGGCTGCTTGAGACACACTGGAGGGAGTGGAGAAGAAGCCAATCCAGCGGTGTCTAATGTGTGGATAACAGGCAGTGTGTGTTTGTTCAATGATAAGAGGAGAAAGCAGCAAGGTGGGGAGCTCAGGAACAGGAAAGGACTGATGTAATTTATACTGTGAACATGAGCTGGCTTGTTGGCAAGGTGAGTCTTTCCTGGAGAGCAGTTTTGACCAGAAGTAGAGGACAGGCACCCTGGGCCTTGACTAGAAAACAATTCTGCAGGTTGATAAATTGGTGCTTTCAGACTAGGTCTGGGTGTGGAATGATGAAAGATTAGCAAAAACTGAATTCAGTCAAGTGAGAAGAGGAAAAGCTCAGCATGCAAAAGGAAACAGCTGAGGTTTGTAATGCATCAACCCACGCCAGATTGAGTACCTCGAGGTTTATCTGCACACAGTTGGTGTGTACTCCAAGATTTCTTCACATTCTAGTAAAGATTAACCTTGCCCTTGAATGAACTCAGAGAGAGCTGTAGAAACAAGCATTTAGGCATGCCTGAGATTATAAAGTGGAAGCCAGCCAGTGAACCCTAAAAATCTGCTCTTGTTTGGCTCATGGACACTGGCAGCAGAAAGTCAGGCCAGAGCATGGCTGGGGGTTATATTGGTTCATGTCAAATGAGGTCAGTAGCCCAGTCAGTAGGTCTGCTCCCAAATGACCAATGGTATGAGCTTTGAGCCTCCTCTCACCAATTTCTCTAAACAGGGTGGAGTTTTCTTTCCTTCCCCACTGAGAGCAGGAAGTCCAGTGCTCATTGTGGAGAGGTTCTGATCCTGATTGCTCACGTGCTGCATGCATGGTCTGTCCATGGATTTCACAGAGAATCCAGGTGCTGCTGGAAACCATGCCCTAGCTCTTCTCTAGTGGAGCCAGCTCCTAGGCCCTTTGAGTTCTCCGCCATGTGACACACTACAGTGGTCTAGCAGCAGTAGCTGACCAGGACTACACCTGGGCCATGGCTGTCCCTGCTGCCTGTGTTTGACTAGATTATTGATGACAGCAGGCCTAAAAGTGTCAGGACATTACCCGTTTCTATAGGGCCATGTTTCAGAAGGTAACTTTGCATAATGCTGACTTTAAATTATTAAAAAGCAAGTTTCCTAAGTAAAGTTAGCATATCACAATAATCCTGTGTGGTCTAAATTATATTCTATTAGAAGAAAGAATATGCCATAGATTATAACCTCTCAAAATCACTTGGAACCACACAATCTATAAAATATGAAAGTTGTGATTTACCATCTGTGAAACTTCACTGACGATAATGGGTTGGACATATATAATTTCTGATAAATAATGATAAAGTTTCACATTATCACTCCTATCAGCTCGTATGAATCTTTCAATCTTCTATAGCATTAACTTTTTTTTAACCCATTCATTTCTGTCAACAAGAAGAGCTATGTAATATTTATTTACAGATGATTTTTGCAACTTGGGATCCCTCTTGGTTTACGAACAGATTCTCCAAGTCTTCTGTGCCTTAGAACATTTACTTGCTCTAATGCTTAAGCACCAGAGCCATCCCAGAGTGTGTGGACAGACCAGTGTAATGCACATGGCACTGGCACTGGGTCGCTGCAGCCATGGCCTTCCCCATCTTCACTTGTTAACCTCTTAACCATAGATCACTTTTGCACTGTACCAACTTCTGTGAATATTCATTTTTTCCTTTCTAGATATCCCTTTCATATTAAACTCCATGTCATACATGAATATTTTTTATTCAAAAGCTTCTCTCTTCACTTAAATATTCTAACCTACTCTTCCTTTTTCTTTGTTCTCAGTGACTTCTAAAAATTTACCAATAAGGCCTAATACTTCAACTCTGAAATATTTGTACTCTTACCCCCTTAGACTCTATAGACATTGTATCTAAAACTTGATTCCAAGGTTCCAACAACTCTGGATCTTTCTACGTGTTCCTAAGATCCACACAAATAATAATACATCTTGGAAGGTGTTAAGATGGAAAATTCAGCATGCTTTGTCTAAACAGGGGAGTTTATTTAGCAATTGTTCCTGATATTAAGACGTGGAAAAAAATTCTTTTTAAAGTTTGTATATCAGGGAAATGTCTTGAAGGTCACATGATGCCTCTTCCCTCAATTCCTGAGGGAGCCTGAATGCCCTGGCCCTTTTAAAAGAAAAGTTTAGTTCCCACCGTGGCTGCCTTCTACTCTTTTTCTCATTTAACACACAGACAGTTTTGTTTTTACCACGTTAAAGCAAGGCAGCCTAGTAAGGAACAGACTGACTTTTATTTACTGGCTATAGTTCTAAGCACCAGAAATGGGCAAAGACCAAACAAAGAAATAGGAAAAATGAGGCATTGAAGAGGATCCAGCATCAGGTTTGGAAGGCATGAGAGCTTCCGCAGCAGCAGGATGTGCCTTTCTTGCACTGTTTATTCTGAGTTCAGAAATAGAGAAAGAGAGAAGGTAGATCTTGCATCAGCCTGAAATGGATACAAAACATACCAGGGCTCACATAGAGTATAATCAAACACTAGATGTAATTATGCAAATGTATACCTATGAATAAATCATCTGTGCCAACCTTAATACTCAAGGTTAGAGTAAGAAGAAGGGCATGATATGCCAGCTGCACAGTGCCTTCGCTCAGGTAGCAGCTGAAAAATGTTGTTTACTGCTCCTTTTCCCCCCTGTAGTTGTATCTGAATGCACTTTGAACCTTTGATTAAATGAACTTTGAACCTTAAAGACCATTAGGAAACTCCACTCCCTTCCATTGGAAAAGCCACCACCTTGCTTGGGGAGGAGATGGGGTAGCGGAAGGGTTGGTTTGAAAATGAATGTGGCATGATTGTTTTTAATCTGCTCACCCTAGTGACATTCAAGCTAATTGTGTGTTTATTTTTAATTAAACTTCACCTGGAATGTGTTTTAGTGCTAAGCATTTTGGAGGCTTGCTTAGGGGAAGGAAATGCTTAAATTTGATTAGGGGAAAAATGTGTTTGCTTCGTTCTTTATAAAATAGAGAACTTCCAACATATTTCTGAAGGCGCTGGGCCTAACCATCTGATTAGAATGGTAAGATCCATTCAATGTTATCATGTGCTTTTCTTTTGCATGAATATAGATAAGATAGTATGGGTTATGGGTAGGAAATATTTGTTCCATGAAACTGATATGAGTACCCCATGCCTCTGAGCCATGGCATCATGTAGTTAGTTTTTTTCCCTTACTCATGGGACTATTAAGAGGCCCCACTGGGGTGTTTTATTTTTACTTCAAGGAATTTGAAGCATCATGTAAGGCTAGGAAGACATTAAAAATATATTTCTAGCCTCATGAGAAACTTAGAGTGGCTGTAATACACATAGATGAATTCAACTGATGTTCCAAGTGCTAAGTGCTTATCAGACATTCAGTTCAACTCTGCAAGCATCGACTGGGCTCCCAGATTGTCCAAAGCACTGTTAGGAGGAAAGCAGATGTGGACAAGATGATTCAAAGGCATGTGACCAATGTTTAGGGATCAGTGAACAAACAACTCACCATCACTGGAATGTACATGTGAGAGGATTGGGGGCGGGAGAGAGGAGATACTGCTGCAGGGGGTTTTACTCAGCACTCTCAGCTGCATAGCCTAGTCCTTAGGTGCTTGGAAACTACTGGAAAAAGCTGTGCAGTTTCTGAGCTAGTGACTCCCCTGCAGCTGCAGACAGACTCTTGTTGATCAGATTGGGCAGTTTTGACCAACCCTAATGAGGAAGAGGGTCTTAGAAATTGTGGAGCATTGCCTTGTGACTGAAATGGCCTTTTTAATGTTGTTAACCAAAAACCATTTTAGAAATACTGCAAGCACAGTGAATTACCTTTCTCAATTACAGAATTTTCTGTGGTGCCTTATGTTAATTATGAGAATTGATTGTAGAGTACTTTATGGGCAACACAGACACTGCCCTCTAAGCTTTCCTTCTGTTGGTTTTGTTCATCCAAAGCAGGAAATTAAACAGTTTATTCAGAATGCTCCTTCATTTTCTTATGGTTATTTGTTTTAAAAATTTCGTGAATCGTCTCACTGTTTTCTTTCAGGGAAAAAGAAACAGTGGCTTCAGACAGTGCTTCTTCGGGAGCCAGAAGCACTGCAAGTTGACAAAGCTTTGTCCAGCAATGGGGTACACGTTCAGGCTGGCCGCTCGGAACGACATTGGCACCAGGTATGGTGTTTTCCTGTCCTCTGCCCTTCACCTTTTGTGTGGTGACTCTGAGCCTTCTGTCACACTGCTGGAAGGCATGAGGAAGCCCACTGCCTCCACAATGAACCCACTTGAGATTTTCCAAGAGGGAATCCTACTCAGAGGGGAGAAGGCCTCTTCTTCTGAGAGGATAAATGTCACTGTGGCCTCAGTGCAGTCTTGCAATCTGTGTTGCGAAGGCCCTACTAGGGGCCTCTGAGAACTGCTACCTCTGAAGGGTAGCAGTCCAGATTTTGAAAGGAATTCGTCTCGGGGCTTTATTTTTCAGACCATGAGCCTTTTTCTTTCATCACTTTACCAAGCTCATCATTCAGTTGCCTTTTTTTAGTTATGTGTGTGCTTCCTGATACAAAGAAAGGAGTGCTGGGTCGGCCATTGTTGTCAAGCCCAGGGCAGATACTATGAAGACTAAAGAAAACCTCAACTGTCTTGGCCACTGCTGCCTGCCCCTGGGCTGCCAGAGAAAGGGGAGAATAGGTGCACCCAAGTCATCAATTGATTAAACAGGGTTTTTTTTTTTTTTTGTCTGTTTTCGTGACTGGTAAGGGGATCGCAACCCTTGGTGTGGTGTCACCCACACCGCGCTCAGCCAGTGAGCGCACCAGCCATTCCTATATAGGATCCGAACCTGTGGCGGGAGCGTCGCTGCACTCCCAGCGCCGCACTCTCCCGAGTGCGCCATGGGCTCGGCCCTTAAACAGGGTTTGAAAAGACCAAGTTTCTGGCCGGCCCGGTGGCGCACTGCTACAGTTGCGGTGGCACTCCCGCCGAGGGTTCGGATCCCACATACAGACCGGCTGCTCACTGGCTGAGCGAGCTGTGGGCGCAACACCGAGGGTTGTGATCCCGCTGCCGATCCCGGTCCGGTACGGGCGCGACACTGAGGGTTGCGATCCGTTGCCAGTCACGAAAAAAGACAAAAAGGAAAAAAAAAAAAAAAGAAAAGAAAAGACCATGTTTCAATTGCACTTTCTGGGTAACTCTTCTTTAAGGGAAAAATCTTTTCTTTCATCACTGCTGTTGAAAGTCTTCTTTAAGGTTCACCACATCACTGATCCCCAACCTTCTTTCCAGCCTAAAGAACTTCTTTTTAACATCACAAAGTTTTGCAGACTTGCCTTCCCCAACAGCCACTGTAGTTTTAGAGTTTACTGGTTGAAAAAGTCATAATGATAAAGGCTTCTGTAGTTCAAAAATTTTTGAATGAATGGGAAGCATCCACAGACTTTGGAGAACAGCACTGTATATACTTGTAAAACATTTATTTCATCAATAATTATATGTGCTCACATTGATTTGAAGACCGCTTGGCAGCTGTGGCTCATAGCTTGATAAACATGGCACTATGCTAATCTTTCTGTTCATTGCTTTTGGGGGAAAAATAAATTCTTAAATACATTGTCCTATAACGGTGTGCTTTTCTAGTAGCAGACTGTAGGGGGAAATAGGGCAAGTCGAAAGTTGTGGCAGGTGTATCACACAAAGGATCCTTGCCTGCTTTGCTTACTGAGCCCACCAGGCAAGTTAGGAAGTGTGCGAGTCTATCCTTCCTCTTTTAAATTGCCAAGCTTCGGATGAGTGGATACGGAAAATGTGGTATATCTACACAATGGAATACTACTCAGCTATAAAAACGAATGAAATACTGCCATTTGCAACAACATGGATGGACAAAAAAAAACCGGGGGTGGTGGTGGGGAAGAAGATATAACAACTATACTTTCATGAAGTTGTTACAACAAGCAAACGGAAAGGACATTCTTGGGGGGGAGGGGAGAGAGGGAGGAGGGCGGGAGGTGTCGGTGATGGGCCATAATAATCATATACAGTGTATATTGACAAAATAAAAATTTAACAAAAAAAATAAATAAATAAATTGCCAAGCTCACATGCTCGTAAATGTGTGTCACACTGTGCTTATGTTTCTACAGTGGTTATAGCCAAGAGGTGGTATGCTACACATTAGGAAACATCCCTCAGATGCCATCTGCACCAAGACTTGTTCGAGCTGGTGTCACATGGGTCACGTTGCAGTGGAATAAGCCTGAAGGCTGTTCACCTGAGGAGGTGATTACCTACACCCTGGAAATTCAGGAGGACGAAAATGTGAGTTTTGCAGATTTTATACCCTTGTGTGTATTCTGTATAATTCAGTATTGTTACAGCTACAGGGCACTATGAAATTAGTGAATTATAGTTATGAATTACATAAATTCAAAACCAAACTCTTAATTTCTACTGCCGTCACCACCATCACTACCAACAGCAATCTGCTCTTCCCCATCTCTGTAAATGGAATCCCCATCCTTTCAGCTGGGGAAGCCAGAAACCCTTGGAGTCACCCTTGGCCACTTATGGAATCAGTCAGCAAATCCTTTTAAAACTTACTTTAGAAATTATCCAGGAACCTCACCATTTTTTTTTTTTACCATCTCTACAGATACTACCCTTTTACAAGCCACCTTCATCTCACCCTGGATTATTACAATGGCCTTGTCATATTATCCCTGACTTCATCCTTATGTCACTAAGGTCTGTTCTCCACATGAAGCCTGAGTGATCATGTGAAATGCAAATAGATTGTGTCTGCTCATAACTCTTCCCATCTCAGTGTCTTCCTCTCTCTTCCCCTGTAAAAGCCAGAGTTCTCACAGTGCATTCAAGTCCCTACGTGATCGGGTTTTCCAGCCCTACCCTTGTTCCTTCCACTGTAGTCTTGGCCTCATGCCAATTCCTTGAACACATCAGGTGCACCCTGGCCCCGAACTTTTGCAGTTCCTGTGCCCTCTGATGTCCTTCCAGATATCTCTGACTCACTTGCCTCATTTCCTTCAGGTCTCTTCTCAAATGTCACCTCTTTGGACAGCCCCTCCCTGACCACCCTGTAGAAAGCACTGTCCAATGGAGCTTTCTGCAATGATGGAAATGTGTAGTTTGTGTTGTCCAGTAAGGTAGCAGCTAGACACGTGTGGCTGTTGAGCACTTGAACTACAGCTTGTGGGCCTATAGAACTGGATTTTAAATTGTAATTTGAATTCAAATTACCACATGTGGCTACTGTATTCAACTTAGGCAGCTGTGGAAAGCAGCACCTCACTAGCTCCACCACTGTATCCTCTTACCCAGCTTTAGTTTTTATCATAGCACCTAACACCACGTGACGTACTGTATGTTTATATGTAGGTTTTTAATTTTTTTCCAATTGCCTTCTCCAATTGGCACGTAAGCTTCTTGTGGGCAAGGCTTTTGTGTTCTTGGGCAGTTCTGTGAATTCCTAGAGCCTGGAGGAGAGCCTGACACATAGAAGGTGCTCAGTAGTATTTGATGAATAAATGAATGAATGAATGATAAGAAATACTATTGAATGAATTCCACCCAATTAATTTCTAGTGGGATGTTTACGCTCTTAAAGCATTATGCCCTTCCCCATCTAAGCTGTCCTTTCTCAGCCAGAAGAGGACACTGTGTGGTTAGGAACCTCAGCTGCAGTCTATTGCATAGCACATTGCAGCTTGACAGTGAAGACTTCAGTGCCAGAGACTTTTTCATGATAGCATTGTTAAATAAGTTTTTTTAAAAGTACTTCCTGCTTTGTTACAATAAAGTTGACCAATCCCAGGAGAAAATATAACATGATAGAGTTAAATTTTTGTTTAAGGCTTGAGTACTATCCATAGCACCATGGGCTGCTGATACTCTCTTTTGAAACAGCTGCCAGCCCATGGCCCACTGGGGTTGGTAAGAAGAGGCGATGTAAAAATCCTATGTACCAAGTTATTTAATGCCCAGATTTTATGAGACTGACGTTCCTTTCTGGCTTTGCCTTTTCAGGATAACCTTTTCCACCCAAAATACACTGGAGAGGATTTAACCTGTACTGTGAAAAATCTCAAAAGAAGCACACAATATAAATTCAGGGTGAGTTAGTCATTTTGGTACCTGCACTACTTCAAAACTGAACTGTTTTATGTTTCACCATTCACTGTTTCATATTGACTCCATAGGTTAAAAAATGTCTAAAGTTCACAACACTTTGTTTTTAAAGTAACATTTATAAAACAAACCATAGTCTAATTTTAAAATCCACTTTGAGAAAGAAAACTGTCGTAATGTGCTGTAATAAATTGCATTACAGCATGGCAGGGTCCCTAGCCTGGTGAGAGCCAAACCACATGCCGAGTGCACCTGGTGCTCACCGCTGTAATAAATTGCATGCACTTCTCACCTTTCTCTTCCATCTTTCTCCTTTTAATCAGATTCCTCTTTGCTCTCCACTTTCCTTTGCTCTTCTGCCCATTTCTTTTTCCTCACCTGTTTTTATTTTTCTCTTCTATTACTCACCCCCTCCCCACTTAGGCTATCTTTGGTCATTAGCAACCACCATTAAGCATTACCTGACGACTTTGTGTTGCAGCCAAAAAGTGACTACAGCTTTGTGACCATTAAGAGAAAACAAGACAAAACAGTATGCTGCATTCTGTCCTGCAGCACTGTTTATTGATCCTGTGCACATTAGCATATTTCCTAATATGACAAGTGTCTATTTTGGAAATATAAGGTTGTTTTCTGATTCCACCCTCTATTTTCTAATTTGGGTGCCAAATGGTGTTAGGTGGCACGCAGTAGTCACTTAATAAATAGTTGTCAAATTATCAAGTGAACTATGTGACTACTTGAGGAAAACGATAGTTTTTGATAAGTTAAAAAAAAAACCTTGTTTTTGATGCTGGCTATACTGCTAGCATTTCTCCACAAGGTGGCATTGTCCTACCCTTAACTAAGGGAGGTTATTTTTATCTGCTTTTTCTCCTGTGTATTTCCCTCCCACAAAACAATAGGACTCTAGGTGGTGACATACTGGTCTTTTTAAGAAGGTAAAAGTGTCTTCAACTAAAATCTACCTTGTGGTTTTATTTTTAATTGTTAATAGCCAGCTATAAAGAAAATAAGTGATGCATAAAATAAATACTGTTAAATCAGTACTTGAGTTTAGAGAGAGAAAATGAGTGTGTGTCTGTCTGAGTTTGGGGATGGCTTGATCTTGCCATGTTAAAAATCATCACATCGAACTAGAGAATTCCCACAAAAAGAATTCCCGCAAAAAAAAAAAGTTGTCATTGTCTTAATAATACCTGATAACTAAGGTATGTTAATGTTTTCCTGGTTGTGTTGTAGCTGACAGCTTCTAATATGGAAGGGAAAAGCTGTCCCAGTGAAGTTTTGGTTTGTACGACCAGTCCCGACAGGCCTGGGCCTCCTACCAGACCCATCATTAAAGGACCAGTTACATCTCATGGCTTCAGTGTCAAATGGGGTACGTTTTGTTGCCATCCCTGCTGCTATTGTTGCTTTTGACAGATTTTTAAAAATTGATTAATTTCAGTAGTGACAAACGAGAAAAATAAATGGACAGTGTTATTTGCAGGGTTTTATGCATTTGGAATATATGTGTGAGAAATATTCTGAGAATTCCACAAGTTGGAATGGATAATTCCGTTAAAATGGAATTTTAATGGACAATTGAATTTTAATGGAAATTGAAATGGCCAATTTTAAGAGTATCTCATTTACTTTGATTTTCCTATATTATTAATATTTTTACTCCTGTACTTTTGATGTATTATTGATTTCAATGTAGTAATCTCTGAATATATAGTTCATTCTTCAATAGCTTGTTTTAAAAAAAATTAGCAATATTTCAAAATATTTGATTTATAAAGCTTGAATATTAAAACTAAATTTCAAAATTTAGGTATGTCATCTTAAGTGGATTTTGTCATACAGAATATTTGTTACAATGAAATAGGAAAATTTTTGTTTTCATTGTTATTTGTATGTAATCAGAGTCCTGAACTTCAGGAATTTTTCATATTAAAGTTCATATGGGTTTGGGGTTATCTGGTGGAAGGCTACTGTGGCTCACCTCTGCTGCATGGATTATTTCAGTGAAATGAATACACTTAAAATGTTGGAAAACATTTGCAATTATGTATAAAACTGTTATGTGTATAATTTTCGCTAGTGTCATATAATAATATTAACTTCCTAGTAAAATGTAGAAATCTAAAATAAGATTTTACCTGGCACCCAAGTAATGTAAGGGGAACTTAAAACATTATTAGACTATTATTGGAGATCAACCATTGAAACACATAACTATTTTGAATTACCAAATAATTTTGAGGCAGAATTATTAGAATATTTATTCTCCTGGAAGACAGGTATGATTAAGAGAAACTAAAAATCTAGGTGTGCTTTTTGCCAGACCATAGAGCATTTTTTCTCTAGAAAATCCTAGGAAGTTCTGTTAACTCTAAATATTTACTTCCATTAGCTGTGTGCTATAATGTTTAACTTTATAACTATTATTATAAATATTTATTACTGAAGTATATATACATTAATGAAAACACTGGGTGAGAGGGGAAGTACATTTCCTAAATCTATGAGTAAACTTAAGATTTCTTAGAAAAATCTCCACTATATCTAAGAATACAGAGGTGACCGACTGATAATAGAGGCAGATTCTTCATAGTTTTGCAAAATTATACTGCAAGATGTTTTTCTGCTCAGAAAATAAATCTCCTACAGGCATGGAGTCACCAGTACACTACATACCAGCTGCCAAGGGCTCATGTGCCCAGTTGGTGCACATGTCCTTTTAAAAATTTTTTTGGCAGCTGGTTCAGGAATCGGAACCCATGACTCTGGTGTTATAATGCCGTGCTTTCACCAACTGAGTTAACCGGCCAGCCCTACATGTTCTTACTGATCCACACCTCTGGTTTTACATCAGGCTTACCTGGTGTATAAAGTTTGCTTAGCAAGAAACTGTGATGGAATGAATTTATTCCCTTTTGATGTTTCACTTATTTTGTCAATAAATTTTGCACTTCTCTTTCCTTCCCTCTCCATCTCTCCAAAGAATCTGATCACTGATAAAATACATGAAATAAAAGAGATTAAAATAATAAAAACAAAAAGAATTATATGAATATTTCATCTTGCAAAAAAATCACCAAATATTAAAGAGCTGCCTTGAGAATTCTCAAAATAAATTCAGTAACATAACTCTCAGAAAAATTAATTCATGTTGAGTTTGGTCATGTTTCACTAAATAAATGCCAACGTTTTGACATTTCTAGCTCTAAGAACTTTGAATAATCTGATAGCATTCAGAGTTTCTTAGTTTGTTTCTTTTGTTTTTTCAAGAAAGGAGTTAGGCGAAATTAATTAGTGCACCTTTTGGTTAAGTCCAGGATTAAGACAATATAATGTTATATGATTTTATGAGTTCTAATGATATTTACCAATAAAAATAAATATCCTTCCACTGCTAATAAGATATGTTTACTTTCCAGATCCTCCAAAGGACAATGGTGGTTCAGAAATCCTCAAGTACTTGCTGGAGATCACTGATGGAAATTCTGAAGGTATAGGTTTTGGAAATTGTTTTATTAAAATCCAGTACAAGCCCTGTTTTCTAATATGGTAAACATCTTTATGGTAATCATTAATTCTAACGATAGAGCTATTATAGTAAACAAACTTTCAGGGCTGTCCACTTTACTCAGTTGGTTAGAGGGTAGTATTATAACACTGAGGTCAAGGGTTCAGATCTACTTACCTGCCAGCCACCAAAAAAAAAGTTGTTCTCTACAATAAACAAACTTTAATCACATATTGACAGTTTTTCTGTTTCAAACACAGCACCGTACATCAGAGTCTACTTGAAACATACATTTTTGTCAGTTTTTTTATATTTCTGTGTTATTTTTTTTAACCAAAGTTTCTAATTAATAGAATGAGTAAATAAATTTAAGGTTTTTATCCCCTAACTTGCCATACTTTTTCTGGAAATTCTTACAAGCAAATAAATTGTCAAAAGCAGTCAGTGGGAAGGATAAGTTGGAGACAGTAAAGGAGTTCAGTGATCTACAAATTCCCACGTATGATGACAAACAATACATAGTATTGTAAACTAATGACAAGTTTCACACTTTTATAACAAGTTTAGAAAATGTTGGTTAGAATGTGGTGCTCTAATACCAAGGCCAAGGGTTGAGTTTTTTTAGTTAGGTTACTTATTCATTAGCAGTCACTGTGTGGATAAAAGTGTTTGCAAACAAATTCCTTAGATAGTACAGTGCCTTTTAAAAAGTGCTTAGGTTTTCTTTCTAATAAAATTCATTAGGCTTTAATAGAAAAAAGTATAGTCATTAGAACTTTTAAAATGACACATAATCTCACCATTGTAATAATCCCTGTAACCATTAATTTTTTGATACTGGCATATGGCAAAATAAAAAATAAAAAAAGGAAGTAAAGTTAATAGTAACTTTTACAAATGAGGGGTGCTGATGTGAGGCTTCCCTTTTATTCTCTACCATGATAGCCACCCTGGAGTGTTTTGGTTTTTAAGTGTATAAGGTCCTATTTTAAGCTGAAAACATGAAAATTCTTTGAGATGGGCACAGCTGTTTTTGACATAAAAATCAAATTCTATGCTAAAAATTTGATATAGTTTTTTACATTAGAAAACCTACTTAGGAGAGAAGTCATATAAATCCCTGAGGCTCATTGTGGAAATTTAAGTGTGTTTTGAATTCTCATGGCTCTCTAAGCTACTGATGACAAATCAAAAGTAGGTGCCATTCTGCATTTAAAGTTAACAACTTTGCCAGTGCCTGGATGAGTCATTAATTGACTCTTTTCAGTTGTCCGTGCTCCCAGTCTCCTTTTCAGTACATGTTTTCTGACTCTGATATCAGGATTATTGTCTTTAATATTCCTTTTTCATATGGCCTTAGTGCATGTGACTTTTTTGTAAATCTAACCTAGTAAGCAGCTGAGGAAATTTGTGGAAGCTGCTCTAGTGAAAATGTCATGGAATAGAGTAAAACATTTTCCCTAAAACAAGTTCATGGAATGAAAGGCTTTTTGTAAGGTAGTCAACTGGAAACATAGTATTAGGAGGAGCAAAACAGAGGAAGGAGAAACATCCTGTTAGCCCCGATTTGTGAAGCAGGCAGCGGGCTGAAGCAGCCCCAGATGCTGCTTGAGGCTGTGGCATCAGCCTCACCAGGCACCCAGACTCCTCCGGCGACCCTGCTTTCTTTCCTCACTCCTGAAGTGGTCAGATTACCTGGGTCACACCAGCGTCTCATCTCTGTCACCCTCCCAGGCATTTTTGTCTCTTAAGTGGGGCTCCATGAAGACAGCAGGCCTTTTCCCAAAGGAAAAGACTACAAGGGGAGGATTTCACTTTCTGTGACCTCCATGCAGATAAGAGCAGGGAGAAATTCCAACAGCGCCCTGGACTTGCCAGCAGCCTCATGGCCGAGGAAGCAGCCATGGACCCAGCTGACCCCGGCCTTCTCACACCAAGACCATTTCATAGCTTGCTCAACACTGACCTTCGTCTCCTTTTACCACTCCTTCCGTGCCAACTACAAATTTCATATGGCTTCCTGCATCTAAACCTCATAGTCAGCAAATGTAGTAATGGGGATATTAAGTAGTCTAGCCAGCAGTACTAAGTATTAAAAATTACTCCGTGTTATTTTAGTGTTTAGCTTTGTAAAGAAAATGGAAAGGGGAGCCCTTTGGCTATTTTTTTTTTTTAAAAAAAAAAAGGAGATGTTGATTTTCATGGAAACCGCTTATAGCTTTTTCTTATCAGTAATGGTTGATACTGTTAACATTTTGCAAAAGGCATAAACTCACACAAGAGTTTTATTTTACAGCAAATCAGTGGGAAGTGGCATACAGTGGATCGGCTACAGAATACACTTTCACCCACTTGAAACCAGGCACTTTGTATAAACTTCGAGCATGCTGCATCAGTACTGGTGGACACAGTCAGGTTGGTTTTGTTTCTGGATAGAAGCGAACATCTAAACTATCTATAACATCAGAATAAAATTACAGTTTAAAAATGTATCTTGGTAATGCAGCCTGCCATAATATCACATGAGAAAATGAAAAATAGAGCTTTTAGAATTATGCTTCAGAGGACATATAAGATTGGCCCAAATGATTCTCAATTGAATTGTGGTACTTTCAGGTACATTTGTCACTTAGTTATTTCTCAGAAGACTTTGGCATAATCAACATGTGACAGTTGAAAATTGTCTGGAATTTGAATTAGCTAAACAAGGGAAACCTCAGTTATTGCAGTGATAGAAAAGTATGGAATTTAGAGTCAGAAAGATAAGACCTCGCACAGCTCTGCTGTTATCACATCAATTTTGTAAGAATTTGAGATGTACCTTCTCCAAGGTACTTTACTGCCATCTGCTGGAAAGTTTCTGTAAAACCATATAAATCTTGGATGACTGAGCTGAAGGGCACCTCCTTCAATGATGCAGTGCCCAATGTACGCATATGTAGGTGGCAGCCATTCTCTTATTGTCTACCATTTATATGACCTTAGACCAGCCAGTTAACACATCAGGAGGCTTAGTTTTAACCACATGGTGTTCTCATAGGCTCAGAATAATCTAATAAATAGGCATGTGCTCTAGAAATGAGATAATTATTGTTTAAATGGGTTTAACTTACATTCAGAAAAGTGGGTGAGAGACAAGATAGTAAAAGATGTTTTGACTGTAGATATATTTAACATTATGATTTGAAACCACTAATATTTAGAAAGAGAAAGAGATGGTGACTTGTAGCCCTGTGCTGAGTTGACTTTTCAAAAGGATGCCTGCCATTTGAATGCCTGATTTTTGCAGTCAACCCACCTCCAACATTGTCTTGTGTTTATTCCCTACCCCTGCTCCACCCCAAGGGCATTTCAAAAGGATGCCTGCCATTTGAATGCCTGATTTTTGCAGTCAACCCACCTCCAACATTGACTTGTGTTTATTCCCTACCCCTGCTCCACCCCAAGGGCGGCAGTACTTCAATGTCTGTATTGCCCATATAGACAGACTCCCTGTGAGAAGGTCCAGCTAGACCATTCGTATGTACTGCCGAGCTCTCTGGCATGGCTCCCGGGGTGGATTATATCCAAATCAAAGCCCCGGATTATCAGGGGATGCCTCCTTTGTCTGAGGGGTTGCTCAAGGCGTCACAGAGGCTGTGCTGCCTATGTGTGGAGTCTGTTTCCTCCGTACCACTCCTCAGCAAGAAGACTGAGTTTGGCTAAGCTATATTGCTCTGCCTTGTTTTTTCCTTTCTCAAGAAGGGGTCAGCTTCCACCAGCCTCTTACACAACCAAATCCTGCAAAGGAAAGCCTACTTACTTTAGCACTAACCGAACCTGCTGGTTAATTTCAGACTCGGTTGATTAATTTTGACTTTGTTTGCTTTTCTGCTCTGTATGTGAATGGTTGGCTGTTATGGCACCATTTAAAAATTTCATCCAGCTGTTGTTTTGTATTCTCTTCTGTCTTCATGAAGGGTCTTTCTAATTTTGATTTAAAGGAAAATAATGATGTGCTTAGAATACACAACATTCATATCTGCTAATCCGACTTAAGAAATAATCATTTTTGTTTTTACCAGTGCCCTGTGCATTGTATGTCCACACTTAAAGCACACACACACACACATTTATACACATTCTTGTGAAGATCTTATTGTGTAAAAAGTGTGCAATAAGGTATACACATTCAATATCTAACCCCCTTTTGGTAGCATTTACAGTTCTGGGGTAGAATTTGCCTGGTATGTAGAGGTATGATAACTTCACAGTAACTAAGATGATTCTCTCTGGTGTTTTTCCTGCAGTGTTCTGAAAGTCTCCCTGTTCGCACACTAAGCATTGCACCAGGTCAGTGTCGACCACCGAGGGTTTTGGGTAGACCAAAGCACAAAGAAGTCCACTTAGAGTGGGGTGAGTGAACAAATCTTCACATTGACATTGACCATTTGGACAACTGGAGATTAAGACTTAATGCTTTGTAGTTAAGTTTCAAGGCTTCCTTCTGAAGTCTTTTTTTTTTTTGTCTGTTGAGAATGTCTGTACTCTTTCTCCCGTGCGCTGGCTTGGGTTTGTGGTCCCTCCCTGCACTGTCTCTCCTATTCCTGGTGGTTCCGCACTTGCCTTTCTTTGTACTCTACCCTTTGGGGGGCACTCTTCTAGAGAATGTTTTAGAACAGCCCCCTTTTTTCAGGAATTTTTCCACATTATTTGTAAAAGAAAAGCTGTGCTCAATTTAGAGATTAAACCAAAAAGTTTAATCCCTAAGGTTCTCAGGGTAGCATCGAATTCCTCCTAGTCTTTGTATGTAAGCACCCTTGCTGCTTTGTTGTGTGTGGGTCCTGGTGTTTTTACAGCATTGACTTAAGCTGTATTAGCGTTTCCTATTGTGCCAGCAATTTGCAGCATGTGAAATTGCAAGTATAAACATGCAGAACTTTAGCAGACTATTTATTCCCACCTCTTATGTCTAAAATATAATAAAATATTGTATTTGTTTTGGGTATTTGTTTCAAGCCAGTTTTAGATCCTGAGTCTTTATTTAGCACAACCTTTGGTTTCAAGTTAAAGAGAAGATTTTTCTTCCCTCCGTTTCTCCCCTTTACCTGGCATTAGAATGTGAAGAAATTTGCCTAACGCTTTTATTCTTTTGGGATTATTTTATTAATGTAATTAAATATACTTAAATGTATTTGCTTTGTGTAGTATGGATAATATCACTCAGGAACTTTTTCTTTTGTATATCTTGTTTTGAGCAGGTGGTGGGTGGGAGGGTTCTTTTGGAAGAGAGGACAGGTCACCTGCATGGTATTTTGCAAAACCTGTGGAAAATCAGGTGTGATTTGTTTAACTGGAAGCACAAAAATTTTCTAAGATGAAAGAAACGTCTCTATTCCCAGATGTTCCTGCATCTGAAAGTGGCTGTGAGGTCTCAGAGTACAGTGTGGAGATGACAGAGCCTGAGGATGTAGCTTCGGAGGTGTACCATGGGCCAGAGCTGGAGTGCACTGTGGGCAACCTGCTTCCCGGAACCATGTATCGTTTCAGGGTGAGGGCTCTGAATGATGGAGGGGTGAGTATAAGGTTATGCGCTATAATCAGAATACAAGATTCTAGCACTTCCGTTTCTACCCTACTGAAATTTGTCAGCAGTATCTGTCCATCCTTGACAACCGTTAAGGATCTGTGTATAAAATCTTATTTCTGAATTGTTCCTTTTGTGATTTCATATAGACCGAGCACTAGAAATTTTCTGTTTCATTAGTCCTCATATTGTTCTATTAGGATAGTGCTCAAGAACATCACCCTGTGTATTCTTTTGGTAGTTTTTGGAATAATTCTATTCTCTCATTGGCTTTATTTATCAGTTATGAGAAATTAGGACTACATATTAGTCCTAATAAAAGTTTTATACAATATTGTCTAAATGAACCAGCAATGTCTTAAGTCAGTTTTTAAAACCAAAGTGGGGTAGGGCTGGGGATGCCAGCATATTTGTTTTCTTTTGTTTGAAGTAAAAACTGTAGAACTCTCTGGCCCTTCCTTCTACTGCTCCATCTGGAGTTGTTAAGTTGGACTATCAGAGATTGAGGGTATATATGTCAATATTATATTCACAAAGTACTTGTTCTTTTTTTCTTTAAAATTGCAGAGTGACGTGGATTTGGGGGGAGATTCATAATGAGAAGTAGGTGGCTTTTTGGTGTGTCAGAGATGGGTATAGACATAAGGGTGTGGGTAAAGCAATTTGATGCCAAAGCCCTCCCTCCCCCTCCCTCCCTGAAGTGCCAGTGGATTGTATAGATGAGCTCTATGCAAATAATAGATTTAATTAATGGATGAATGAAATTTTTAAAAATAAGAAAGCGCAACTGACAGTGACACTAAGTTACCAATGACTTCATACGACTTTTCTAGTGCTCAGTAGTCCTGCTCAAGCCTTTCAGAAGTGAAGTGTGCTTATCTTTACTCAGTTTCAAGTTAGCCACAGCTGGCTATGAAAACCATTAGTATGGAGTAGGATCTCAAACCCTGAACAGGAGCTGGATTTCCTAAAACCATAATAGGAAAGAATTTCAGACACAGCACAGATATTTAAATGAAAACAAAAAGTCTAAATGTTAAAGCCATATTGGTGAGAAGATAAAAAAGCCTATGCACCTGAACTTATAGTTATGTAAGAAAGAAGATAGATGGAGACTTTATTTCACTTTTGTGTCTTCCCTTTTCCCCATCAACTTTTTTCAGGGGATGTCTGCCATAACAAAGATAGATGTGCAACTGCGTTGATTTGAGTTTTACTTTCTCGTCCCTTTCACTGAGTTATCATATAAAGAAACTATGTTGAGCTTTGGTTTATTCCTGTTGTACTGGAAATTAACCACATATATCACTGTAGTCATCTTCTGAGGTCCACTTCACAGAGCTTCACCTCCATTCCCTAGTATCTTTTCAAGTTATATTAGAAACTGTGAGAGTTGTTTTTGTTTTTGTTCTTTTAACCTTTTCTCATTTTGAAGAGCACAGTCACATATTTCATTAGCCTGGAAATTATTTTACTCTTTACCCCAACTCTTTGAAATATCAAGTATTCCACTATTAAAATGGGTGGTTTGGTGATTATGATTCTGTCGAAATGTGTGAAGTCTCTAGTGATGCGTGGCTGTGTACTGATGATAACATAAAAGAGGAGTGCAGTATAACCTTCGACTGGTTGAGATGGTCGGGGACACGCCGAGAAAGCTTTACAGGAGCATTAGTTGTCAAAATGGAAAATACCAATAACTAGAAGAAATAGCTAGAATTTGATAACCAGCAATTACAGGTAGATTTTTGTGCATTAAAAATTAAACCTCACTATACATCTAGCTTCACTTCTTTGATGTTCTCTGAGAAATATTAAAGCAGAATGCCGTGTTTTGTCAAGAATCAGCATGTTTCTGTTTCTGATGTCACAGTAAAGGGAAAATGTTTCGTAAAGCAACTTTCTAATCCTTTTTAATAAATATATGTGTAATAAATATTTACCACTCAGGGAATGTATGTAGGAGAAAACCTCATAAACATTCAATGGAAAGTGAAAACCACAAGGTAGTAATTTTTTAGCTGATTGTATTGATGATGATGTTAATCTAGCCCTTATTTGGTTATAAGCTTTTATGTGCACACACATGCACAAACACCTGCACACATATATACATACAAGTGTGTGTGTGTGTGTTCTTCTCTTTCAGTATGGTCCCTATTCAGATGTCTCTGAAATTACCACTGCTGCAGGGCCTCCTGGACAATGCAAAGCACCTTGTATTTCTTTTACGCCTGATGGATCTGTCCTAGTGAGTTGGGAGGTAAGTCAGGCACATGTTCTGCATCAGATTCTGTTTCTTCTACTTAATCTACCCCCAAATACCAATACAAGCTATGAAGAAACTATAAAGCCAAAGTACACCTGTAGGTGATTTTTTTGTTTTGTATGTAGTAATCTCTCTTGGTGCACTGGCTTATCATTTAGAGTCGCAGAAATCTTACCACTTTGCAGAACTGAGAGGAAATTGAGTGTCTCTTTTATGCCTTTCTTTTGTATGTATTTGAAATATTCTGGGGCTTGTTGCCCTTTTCCCCAGTGTTTAATTGAACATAAATAGATTAGGATTTTTTTCTCAATGGAATTATTAACTTACTTGAATTTCTGCTTTTCAGAGTCCTGAAAGCTCTGGTGCTGACATCTCAGAGTACAGATTGGAATGGGGGGAAGATGAAGAATCCTTAGAACTCATTTATCATGGGACAGACACCTGCTTTGAAATAAGAGATCTGTTGCCTGCTGCCCAATATTGCTGTAGATTACAGGTAGGTTGCCCTTATTCAGATGATACTCACAAGGACTAGTGTTCCATGAAAGACACTTTGGGCAACCTGCTCAAAGTCTTCATGATAATAGAGCTATCAGGTGGGATGATAAGGGGGGGAAAAAGGAGTACTTTTAAATAAAAATAAATTTACTGCCCCCCTGTCTTTCTCACCTCTGATAACCTCAGTTCTGTTCAACATGTTGTGATCATTGTATCTTTCTTTATTTTTTTTAGTTCCCACTTATGAGTGAGGACACACAGCATTTCTCTTTCTGTGCCTGGCTTATTTCACAAAACGTGATTGTATCTAAGTTCATCCGTGTTGCTGTGAATGGCAGGATTTTACTTTTTTTTTAATGTCAGAGTAGTATTCCATTGTGAATATATACCACATTTTCCTTATCCTGTCATCCATCGATAGACATTTAGGTTGGTTCCAAGTCTTGTATATTGTAAATAGAGCTGCAGTAAACATGGGAGTACACATATTCCTTCAACATGATTTCCTTTCCTTGTGGTATACAGTCAGCAGTGGGATTGCTG